GGGAAGCCTGGAGCACAGCCCCAGCGGGGAAAGGCTGTGCGTCGCAGCGCCAGGTGAGGACACCCAGGGGAGGCCCGTAGCGTCTCCTGCGCCCCCATCCCCGGCCAACTCAGCGCCGCTCCGCCAGAGCCCGGCAGGGCGGCACGGCGACCGCTGCCCAGCCTGCCGGGGCGAGCGCGCGGCTCTCGCTGGGCCCCGGCAAGCCCGCGGGCAGACCGCTCCCAGAGGCAGGACGCGAGCGCGCCCGCCAGACTCTGGCGCGGGAGGCCCGGGCTTGCGGCCGCCGCAAACAGAAAGCCCAGCGCGATGTGTTCCGGCTCGAGGCCGGTCCGACGACCCAGGCCGCCCGGCCGAGCGCCGAGCCCGCGGCTGCAGCAGCGAGGGGCGCCGCGCGCTCCAGCCCCGCGGCGCGGCGGGCCGGGCAGGGCCGGCTCCGCTCGGCGCCGCCCCGGGAGTCTGGGCGGGCGAGGCTGCCCTCGACCCTCCGCGCTCGCCTCCCCGGCTCCCGGGGCTCCCTCGGGAAGGGCGCGGCAGCCGAGCTGAGCCCCGCGCGGCCCCTCTGCAGCGGCGGCGTCCCGAGCCAGCGCCGCGCCCTCCCGGCGTCGGCGTCCGCTCCGGGGAGACGGGTCCAGCCCTCACCGGTCATCGGCGCCCGCCGGGCCGGGCAGGGGCCCCCGGGCCCCCATGCACCCGCGGCCAAGAGCCCCGGCCTGGCCGCGCGCTCGCAGCGAAGCGCCGAAGACAGGGCTGCGGGGGGCACGCCCCTCCTCGGGCCCCTCCCCGGGGCCCGGGCGGCCCGGCCCGCGCCCCGCGCCCGGGCGGCGCCGCGGCCGGAAGCGGCGCCCGCCCCGCCCCCCTCCTCGCGACCAGGGCCCGCGGCCGCGGCGACCGCCGCAGCCTCGGGGGGCCCCCGGCGCCCCGGCCGGGCCGGCGGCCCCATCCCGCCAGCCGGCGGCGGCCGCCCGGGCCCCGGGGTCTCACTTACGAGAGCGAGGGCCGCCGTCGCCATCTTGCGCCCGTAGCGGCCGCCGCGCGCGCCTCCCGCTCCTGCTCCTCCGCGGTCTCGCGCGATCTGGGCCCGGCGGCGCCGGCCGCAGAGGACGGAGTCTCGCGATAGGAGGAGGTGAGGTCCTCCCGCGACGTGGCCCGGGCAGCGCACGCGCTTCCGGTGCGGGCGGGGCCGGAGGCCCGAGGGGCGGGCGCGGGCGGCGGGGGGGGGCCGGGCCCCGCGCCTCCCGGGAAGACGCTGCGCTGTCCCGCCCGCGCCCGCGAGCAGCCCCCTCCGCCGGGCACCCGGCCCGGAGCCGGCCCCGGCGCCGCGCGGGCTCAGCTGTCCTCTCAGCGCGGCCCGCCCGACTCGGGCGCCGCGCCCCGCCTCCGTGACAGCGGCGGGGCCCCCACCCTTCGGCCCCCAAACTGCTTTTTAAGCGGGCCGGGCGCCCGCAGTGGAGTGGGAAGAGCCGCCCGCGCCCGGGCCAGCCACACCCGGCCCAGGACCCTGGCTCAGGGACGGGGCGTGTCCCCGCTGGACACGGTGGGGCAACCCCCTCGCCCTCAATGATAGGGAAAAGGTCTTAGAGAGACAAGACCCCAGGGCGGCAAAGGGGTGGAAGGCTGTGGAACTGCAGGTGCCGGGCACTGGGGGGCTGGCCGGCGGAGGCCATGTGCAGGGGGACCCGCGGGAAGCCGCTTGGAGGGAGACAGCGTCTCTGTCCCCACCGAGGCCCCTTGGACAGGGTCCTGTTCTGAGAGTGAGGGCCTAAGTGACGTGGGGCCTGCCATCCCGACTCCCAGAGTCTGGGCCCCAGCTTGTGCCACCCACAGCCCTCAGAGAAGAGGGCGCCTCTTTGCAGCAGCTGCTGGGGCACTAAGGGGGTGCCGGCCGGGTCCTGCTTCCCCGCTCACCAGGCAATACGCCGTGGCCACTGGGGTAACCGCTCCCTCAAATGCAACTGGACAGCCCACCAGACACGTAAGGAAGAGGGAGGAACGGAGAAGCGCAGGAGCAGACGTGACCAAGCAGCAGCAGCGCCTGAGACGAGGGCCTCGGGGACGTGACGAGGGCCTCGGGGACGTGGGACGCTGCACTGAACGCAGGCAGAGGCACGGACCCTCTCCTTTCCCCTCTCCTAATAAGCCTGTCCTTTTAAGATGCAAAAGACAAGAAAACGATGAGAAGAAAGGGAACAATTCAAGGAGGTTGAAAGAGAAAGAGGGACTCTCCCAGGCTGTAACAGCAAAGCCACAGGAACACAGTGTGTGGTGGTCGCCCTGGTCAGCGCTCCAGTGGAGAGCCAGCCTGGCCCTCAGAGGCCTCGGTGACCGAAGGGGATAGCTGCAGGGGTGGGGGCCAGGACTCACCACCTGTGTGTGGGGTGCTGTTCCTGTCCCTTGGCATGCACACACTGTGCATCCCTGCATCGCCCCCCATGGAGGGGGTGCTGTTTGTATCCCCATTTTTATAGATGAGAAAGTGGAGACACAGACCGATACCACCCAGCTAGATGCATAGAGCGATGCCAGTCTGTGCCCATAACTACCCCTCTCAAAAGATAAGCTGAACACCTAAATGATAAGAATTCCAGAAAAGGAGAAGGGAGAAATCAACATTTCCTAGAACTAGGGAGGGTCTGGATAACAAGTCATAGAAACGCCAACATCTTTGTTTGCAAATCACTGAGGCAAGAGAAGACCAAGGAGGAGATATCACACACTGGCCAGAATTGGGGAAGACATGGAGTTCCTGGGACCAGAAAATGACATGAGACCCGCAAAATCCCTGGTAGGAACGGTTTTCAACCTAGCCGGACGTTTGTGCTTAGTTATACTAGCAAGCAGGTAGAGTAGATAGGGATGTGCAGCAGAGCCCACAACTTCCACACGGCCTTTCTCAGGAAACCAGGAAAACGCTCCTCAGAGCACATGCAATGGAAAAGGCAAGCGTGGGGTCTGGACGCAAGAGAAAGGAGGTGCCTTGGAGCGTGCCCCATAACAGTAGCCTGGGGCAGAGAGCTTGCTAGCAAGGGTGGGAGGAGGGCACGGGATGGGGGGGTGGTTCTGGGAGACACAGGGACGGGGCTGTCAGTTATGCAGGAATCCCAGGGTTGGGCAGGAGAGTCTGATGATGAACTGATGAGCTGTGTGTAGAGAGTAAAACAAACCAAAAAAATCAAAGGCAATTATTAACTCCTGAGAAAACAAGTTGGCCAGGAAAGAAATATGATCCTAGCACAACTGTTCTTTGACAAGACCAGCGGTAATGAAGTTGTAGTATTGCCCATGACATGGGGTGTGACACTCTTCACACTAGGATGCTGCTGGGTCACCGGGTGGAGGCCAGTGACTCCCCCCGCACTCCCCAGGGGACACAATGTAGAGAACCCGATAAAAAGCAGTAAAACCTTGTGTGGTTTTGTGAAACATGTATTTTAAGAATTGCATTTGGGGGTGGATCTGAGTCAGAGATTGCATTCATTGTAAGACCCCATGCCACTTTTAAAATGATATGTATATGCTTTGAAAAAATAAAAGTTAAGATGCAAACCTCCACCTAGGTGTGAGTGAATGAAGCAGTGTGGTAATGCTCTTTAGTTTAATTATGATACAATCTGTCAGGCACTTGCCACTCAATTCTTGAAGATGCTGCAGAATCAAACAATTTAGCATCAGGAGTCCCAACTAGAATGTGCAAGTTACTTCAGGCCTATAATTTGAAAGGGGTGAGAATTTGAATACTTTTGTAAAAGTGCTGGAATGTGTAAGATTTGCGAGGTCTGCCCATCACATCTGCTCTGCCTTGGCTTGTCTGGGTAGGGGGATGTGGCAGGTAGGACCATGTCACCCCCCAAAGACGTCCACACCCCAACCCGAGACCCAAGTGTTACTTTACACGGCAAAGGGTATTCTGCAGACATGGTGGAGACCCCACATAATCACGCCAGCGTTCCTGGCTGCAGATCGGATGGATGGCTCATGAGAAGCCCTCCCACTGTTGCCCCCCCCAGGAGGGAGGACACGGTCCTGAGCCCAGGCGGGCAGCAGCGCCTGGAAGCCGGACGCAGCCATACATTTACAGCAGGCCGGAAGTGGGACCCACCCACGTCTGCCAGGCCTGACCCCTGCAGGCCAAGGAGCAGGAAGAGGTCTGGCCCTGGAGCCCAGAGAGCATGCGACCCTCACTGGCTCCCGGTCCTCCAGGGACTTGTGGGGCCTAAGGCGCCAAGTTGGTGGTAGATGCTTAGGGCAGTGAGATCTCCTGCTCTGACATTCGTGATGCTTAAAAAGAAGCCTGAATGCACGGAATTCATACATGCGATTTACAATGTTGAAAGGGCTGCTGGACTGGAAGACGGGAGGGAAGGGTCCTAGAGCCGGAGAGCGGTGGGGAGGGAGGCCAGGGGGCGGTGCGAGCGAGGGGGCAGAGCCCGATGCCTCCAGGCTGGGATCAGAGAGAGAAGACAGCCCTGTGGAGGGCCACAGGGGCCAGAAGAGTATCCAGAAGTGGGTGTGCAGGTGGAAGGTGGGGCAGGCCTGCATGGTAGGGGGTGCGAGGGCCACATGGGGCTGGGGACTGGACTTCCTGGGGTGTCTGCTCCTGGTCCGCTTCTCCTGCCAGGCTGTGGGCTGCCCCACGCCCAGCACCATGCGTGGCACCTGCAGGCACTTTGCCCCGGGCTGGGGTCTGTGGTACCAAGTGGGGACCAACGATCCCCTGGGCGGACATCTGTTGAGGACTGGCCCGTCTCTGCACTGGTTCCCTGCAGGCCGCCCCTGCAAGGGCAGCTCCCCCAGAGAGCTGCAGTGGGGGTGGGCTCCGGGCTGGGAATGGAGCACGTGGGCGGGGTGCCAGCGTGCCAGAGTCCTGAGCGGCCCTGCCCCAGCTCCACCCCGGGGCTCCTCTGGAACAGGGCTCTCAGTCTTCAGCCCCCGAGCACACTGGCAGAGGGGCCCTGGGGCCCACCCAGTGGCCAAAGCCGAGCTTTCCCAAGGGCCAGGGCAGTGCTGGGGCTGCGGGTGCCGTCAAGGCTGAGCCCCGCGGTGCTTGAGGAAGGTACTCTCCAGGAAGGCAGCCAGCTTTGTCCGGTCATCCTGGAGGGCGGGAAGGGGGTGTGGGGAGGGTGGAGGGGCGCACCCACCCACCCCTCCTGGCCAGCCGACCCAGCCCTCGCACCTCATGGACGAAGCCATAGTGGACCAGCTCTGCGGCCAGATCCTGGGCGCTGTCGGCTGCGCGGGGTGAGACGTGGTCAGGTTTCTCCCCACGCTGGGGGCCCCCCCAGGCTCCCCAGCACCCCCAGGGCTCCCCCAGGCTGCCTCAGCCCCCCACTCCCTCAAGCCCCCGCAGCCCCCCCGCCCCCAGGCCCTCCCAGACCCCCCAGGGCTCTGCCAGGGCTCCCCCCAGGCCCTCCCAACCCCCCCTGCAGGGCAGGGCCTCCCAGGGCTCCCCGGGGCTGCCTCAGCCCCCTGCAGGGCCGCCGGCCTACTTGGGAGCAGGTCGTAGGTGAGCTGCCGGTGCAGCCGGTCCTCCAGCACCAGGAGAAGGGTGAGCTGGGGGCAGGGGGTGGTGTTGGCTCCAGAGCCCACCAGGCCACCCCCCTCCCCGCGCCCACCCGCCGCCGCCGCTCACATGCCAGCGCGCCTTGTCCTCGCTCCTCTCCAGGTTGCACTGCATGTGGACCACCTGGGGCGAGCCCCGGGCTGGAGTCAGCTACCGCGCACCGGCCCCGCCCCGGCTGGGCAGGAGAGGGGCCCTCCACGCGCCTCCGGCATGTGGCAAATTACAGAAACTTCCAGAAAAAGCCTCAGAGGCCGAGTGGCGAGGGATGAGCAGGGGCTGTCATGGGGCGGGAACGCGGGCAGGCCTGGGCCCTGCAGGGGTGGGGGCGGCGGTGGCACGGGCCACACTGCGGGAGGCAGTGGCACAGGCAGACGTGGCGCCAGGTGGGGCTCGGGCCAGCAAGGTGATAGAGAGGCTCGCCACAGGCGGACACCAGAGACTCTTGAAAAGGGCTGGGGGCCCTGGCCGGTCAGGAGAGGCCCCAGCGGGGGCCGTGCAAAAGGGGAGGCCCGGCAACACAACACGCGCTGCTGGGGTCCTCAGAGGAGACGCCAGGGGTCCTGGCAGGGAGAGCTGGGGAGGGCTGGAGTCAGGGCCACGGCCTGGGCACGACGGGGAGGGGCAAGGAGACAGGGAAGGTGTGACCCGGCTTGTCCTACTGTCCCCATCCCCACAGGGGTCAGCAGGGCCGGCCCCGCTGCCGCGAGGAGGGCTGGCCGCAGGGGTAGCAGCCGTGGGGCTCACCTTTCTGGTCTCAGAGTCAAAGGGCTCTGGTGTCGGGGTCTTGGCCTTCTGGGCCTCCTCAGGGGGTGGGGCCAGTGCCCGGGGCAGCCCCAAGGGCCGCGCATCGGCAAAGTTCATCAGCGGGTAGATTCCGTTCCTGGGGGCACAGTGGGGTGACTGGGGACCCGTCCTGGCAGGCGCCCCTCCCCCCCACACCCTTCTCACCTGACATCCTCCAGGAACTTGTCCAGCTCCAGGAAGGACACCTCTGAATACCTGGCACAGGCAGAAGCACCAGTGGGTGGCCGGCCAGTGGGCAGCCTGGCAGGGCCGCGGGCGCAGGGGACGCTGGCCACAGGACTCACCGCCACTGCAGAGGGGGCCGCGGGGGCCGGGGGATCTCCGCCAGGACGGCGTGCAGGTCCATGGCCTTGGTCTTCTCCTCCACCACGTTCTCAGGCATGAGGTCTGCGGGGAGTCTCGGTGAGGGTGGCCCGTGCTGCGTCCCCCCAGCCACCAGCCAGCCGCCCCTTACACTGGTGCTGGATGAAGCAGTGAGCCGCCAGCAGCTTCAGCGAGTGCACCTCAAAGAGCACACGGTGGAAGAGCAGATTGTGGGCGGAGGGCCGGTGCACGGGGTCGCGGGCCAGGCAGGAGAGGATGAACTCCTGGGGCACATGAGAGAGGACATGGCAGCCTCTGCCCTGACCCCACACGAGGATAGGCTGCCCCGGGCCCAGCCCCAGGGGAGCAGTGCCCAGGGCAGCCTTGGTGCGGGAAGGGGCCAGAGAGGGGGCCTGTCCACCCCGACCCTACCACCGACGGTCAGGCCCCAGGTCCTTCCCTCGTGCTACTTCCTGAATCTTTACAGAAGCCCCGGGGGTACAGGGCCCAGCTCACAGTCGACGCCTACATGCGCAGGGAGGGCACTAAGCCCTGCCCACAGCCCTGGGCATGGCAAAATGCCAGGTGCTTGACCAGCCCCGAGGCCAGCACAGCAGCCCCACTGCCCCAGCCTGCCCCAGTTCAGGCCCAACCCCAAGGTGGCCTTGGGGCCCTGCCCCTGTGAGCCCGTCCAACAGCTCCTCCCCGGCCTCACTGCTCACTCTCCTGAGGCCCAGGCGTCAGTGGGCTCCGGCCAGAGGCTTCCCTCCCGTCCTACCCTGCTCAGCCCGTACCCTCGGCGCCCCCACCGCAGGGCCACACCTCAGCCCAGCTCCTGGAGTGAGGGGCAGGACATGGCGCTGGACAGTCCCGGGCATAACACTGGCCCCCGCTCACCTGCAGCCGTGGACAGAGTACTGGGCCCTGTGGGCCTCAGTTTCCTCAGCTATGAAGCAGCAGGATGAGCTGCCCACGCAGGAGGCGTGTGCTGGCTTCCTGCCTGCAGACCCCTCAGGCCCCAGGCCTGGGTCTCAGCTCACACTCAGGCCTGGTCCTCGGTGGGGACGGCTGGGCCTTGGCCCGCTGCCCTTCCAGGCCTTCCTGAAGCACCTGCTGGCCCCACCCAGAGCCCAAGGGCCAGGCAAGCTGCTTACCCGCATGTTGGGGTCACTCAGTGAGTGCCTGGCACGAGCGATGGCTTCCTCTGTGACTCGGGTGTCCCCGTTGGCCTGAATCTCCAGCACGGCCATCTGGGGGGCGGCCCAGGTCAGGCGGGGGCAGGGGCAGGGGCAGTGCAGCACACAGCTGGGGTGGGGGGCCGGCTATGAGGCTACCTCCAGGGCACACATCCCAAAGGAGAAGATGTCCACGGCGGTCCCGTCGGCGACCTCTGGAGGGAGAGCCAGTCAGGGCGGGCGGGGGGGCTGGGCCGCTGGGCCGCACGGGCAGCAGCTGGCAGGACTCACCGCCATACTCCGGGGGGAAAAAGTGCAGGTTCCTCTGTTCCTCCCGCTCAGCCAGGATGGGGCTCCGGAGGTCATCAGGAAGCGCTGCGGAGAGCCGGGGGTGAGCCGGCAGACGCCCCCCGCCCCCCACCCCCAGCCCCCACTCACCATTGGAGAAGATTCGGTGCCACACTGCGCGGTCGCGGGAGAGAGGGCTGGTCAGGGCGCGGCCGCCGGGCTCTGCTCAGCTCCCGGCAGGCACCCAGCCCCACGCCCCCTGCCCAGCCTGCCCAGCATTGCCCAGCGTTGCCCAGCCCAGCCCAGCCCAGCCCTGCCCATCCCTGCCTGCCCAGCCCTGCCCAGCCCAGCCCTGCCCAGCCAGCACCAGAGCCAATCTTGATGAGGCCGTTGTGCTGGATGAAGACGGTGTCACTGGTCAGGTTGCCGTGGATGATGGGGGGGCTGCAGGCGTGCAGAAAGCTGCGGGCGGGACAGCAGAGGCCGGTCAGGGCGCGGAGGAGGGGTGTCAGCCGAGGGGCCGGGCCAGGAACCAGCCCTCACCTGAGCGCAGACAGGATCTGCGTGCACCAGCGCTTCCAGGCCTGGCGGTGGACGGACTCCGTCGGCGGGGCAGGGCGCAGGGCGCAGGGCAGCGGTGGCCGCGGGGGGCCCCGAGCCCCGCCCCGCCCCCCCCTCCCGAGCCGCCCCGCCCAGCCAGAGCGCACGCTCCGTGCCCGCGCCCCCCAACCCACCCCCATACCCGGGCGTTCATAGCCTTGTGGTTCTTCTTGGTCTTTTTGAGGAACTGCTTGAGGCTGCCCGAGGACACGTACTCCGTGATGAAGATGACCTGCGAGGCGGGCGGGCTGGAGGCCTCCGCCAGCGGCAGTTCGCGCTGCCCGCCCCCCGCGCCCCGCGCCCCCCGCGCCCCCCGCGCCCGCGCCCCCGTGGCTCACCCGCGCCCGGGCCTCGGAGGCGTCCAGCCAGTACTTGTGCAGCTTGACGATGTTGGGGTGGTCCACCAGCACCAGCTGCTCGAACATGGTCTGGATCTTCTCCTGAAAGGGGGCGACGTCACGGGGGGCTACCGCTGGGGTGGGGGGCGCCAGCGGGGCTCACCTCGTGGGCAGCGAAGGCCTTCCTGTCGCCGAAGTGCAGCTCGTTCCACAC